TTGATGTTCTTCTCAGCAGCACGGGAGGGTCTGCTTACTGAGTCCTGAGGCCAAGGTGAACACTTTCCCTTCCTGGATTCAGTCAGTCGGATCCTGTCCTGCCTTATTCCATGCCAGTCCCCATGGACCATGAAACAGGTTATGCTTTGCGAACATTTTTTTTATCAGCCGGGGACTTTAGGGAGTCTTCTCATTTAAGGCAAGAATTTGAGTGTGCCCTGAAGATGAAAAGAAATAGATTTACTTTACAAATGATTTCTAAAATTATCTTCTATACTCAAGCAAGGAAATGTAGTTTGGATATTCTGAAAATTTCTCTTTTTGTATTTCTTTTAGGCTCTGTTTTTTTTCTCTCCTTCATGATGAGCCCAATCAAAGTTTAACAACATCATTATAAATTGTTATCATTTTGTTTTTGTATTTCTAGGTATTAGGTTAAAATTGCCAAAAAGTGTTCCTCTTGGTGTCTCCACAGCAGTGATATGACAAGCCCTCAGCTTAGGGGATGCAGTTAGTATAGTCATGTTCCATCGTGATGGTAAAAAAACAGTTTTCTGTAGCAACCATAATCCCCAAATGCAGGGCTGCGGATATCACTCACCATCAGTTAAGTGATGCAAAGGATATGAGCATCAGTGACAGGGATGCATTTCGGTTGGTGCTGGGTGAGTCGGGCTTTTCAGTGACACAGCCTGATCAAAGAATATTGTCAATTATCATATGGTTTCACTCATATGTGGAACATAAGGAATAATGCAGAGGACCACAGGGGAAGGGAGGGAAAACTGAATGGGAAGAAATCAGAGAGGGAGACAAACCATGAGAGACTCTGGACTCTGGGAACCAAACTGAGGGTTACAGAGGGGAGGGGGGTGGAGGGATGGGGTAATGGGGTGATGTATTAAGGAGGGTGCTTGTGGTGATGTGCCCTGGGTGTTATACGCAATTAATGAATTGTTGAACACTACATCAAAAACTAATGATGTACTATATGCTGGCTAATTGAACATAAAAAAAGTAAAATAAATAAATTATATATATATATATATACACTAAAAAATAAAAAGGAATATTGTCAGAATGAGGGCACCAGTCCTGCAGGCACTTCTTTCCTTTACTGCACAGGGGTTCACCGAGCATATTGAGCATGTGGTGCTGGGGAACCGTAGGTGAAGAGAAGGGTCCTTATCCCAGTGGGGGTTCAGGCATGTCAAGTGACCATACAATACCCAGAAGACGATCACTGCGTTGTGGGTGCCCAGAGGAGGCAGTAGCTATTTTGCCTTTCTGTTATTTAAAAGTTTAAATCCACTTTAGAATGGGTTTTTAAAGTTGATTTTTATTGAATGGAAATGAAGAGGGATGAGGCAGAGTCGTTCAATGGAACTAATTTTCCTTTTGGTTGCTCTACTATGTTGAGGAGAAGTAGAGTTGTAGTAGTACTGGGACAGGCTTGTGGTTCGTGGTGGGAGTGAGCTCCACACCAGGTAGGTGGGCACACTCTTCTGGATGGATGTTGCCTTCCTGCTCAGCTCTTGTTTCTATGGCAGTCAGTGAAACTGCGTGGAGACCAGAGTATAAAGTGCATACAATTGGTCTAAATTGTCAAAATAGTCATTAAGCAATGAATCTTGACCTCTTAAAAGCAGTTTGCAAGACATGAGCTGATTGTTCAAATTATGTGCTTGTCCTTGAACCTGCTGATTAGAATGTTTCTTCTCTAAAGCACATAATTTAGAAAATCAGAATGTAAGAAATGGTGTTATTTGAAGGAACGGTCTCCAAATTATTGTGATTTTGCACTGCGATCAGTAAAATGCATTTAAGTAAATCCCAGTATGTTTATTCAGAAATTATGCACATTGATAAACAATACATGTATATTTATTTTATAAATAAATTTAGTATATTACAGATATTTATAAATTATATATCTGTCCAATTTTATTCATACATGTTTTAAAAAATATATAAAATATAAATTTTAAAAGAATGGAAAACAGATAGAAATGAGTTCTAACATTTCCTTTACACAACCTGAAGACTACTTTAGACACACTCAGGGCACATACTCTCCACTCGGGACACCAGTCTAGAAAACTGTACAGAGTGGAGAGAACAGAACTTGTTTTAAATACTTGGGCATTTGGGTCTCCTTTCTTCTGTGTGTCATTCTAAATGCATCGATGGATTATTATAAAAGCAATGAGTAATTGGTCACAAAAGGAATCCATATGCAAATACAGAAGTATTTATTAAGTGAAGGAATAATGAATGAATTTGAATGAAATGAAGCCCTCATGTTCAACTCGGTCATCAGTGTGAATTTAGCAAAGGAACATGGTCTCTGACCTGATTTGTATCTAATAACAGAGGGTGATAGTAATCCTTATAGGAACATCATGCTTAACAGTCCTGTCATGTCCTCTCTCATAGGTAGAAAATATGTTCAGTTTTGGACAAGATATATCTACAGACTTGTGCTTCTTATTTTAGCAACTTCTACAGATAACATGGAAACACAAAGTAAAAGCTCTTCATGCTGAAGCTGCTGTCCAGAAACAGGAAAGGAGAGATACAGCTTCTGTTTTTTGGAAACTCAGTTCAAAGTTCCTCTAGATGTCAGTATTACATAGAGAAATGAAAATACAATAGCCTGTGGCAATGAATAAAGACCTCTTTACATTATTTAAGTGGTAAAACATATGTGATATATAATTGACAAAGAAAAAAACAGCCTCATTTGGAAGCTGGTTTCTTATATTCCTCAGAATCAACAGCTTCTCCTGTTGGTCAACTCCAGCTGCTCTACCCAAAGAATGTTAGCACAACTCCTGGACCTTTGCCACCAACACCTGGATGACCTTGGAGGCAAACGCTCATCAATCTGGCACTCTATGGAGTCTTACCACCAAATTCTCAATTTTACCTATTTTGATGAACTGAAATTGATTAAAACGTAACAGTTTTCATTATCAAGTCCACCAATGTACACGTTATCCAGAATAAATCCAGAAGCACATGTCTATCCACCAGGAGTTTTCATTTCAAAAGAGAAACACTGAAAGAAAAAATTATACAATATCTTAAACACAATTTGTTAAACTATCTTATCTGGCTAATTTGACTTATTTTCAAAATTGGACTTAAATTCTCTCTCTCTTGCCTTTCTTCCATGTTAATTCTAGTTGCTTGGTAAATATTTATTTCTTCACTCTACTAACGTGTTTCCATTTTATACCCTTCTCTCTTAATCTTCCTTCTTATCTCCCATGGTACTGGCTGTGCAATAGATATTCAATAAATACTAACAACATACCTTGCCTGTAATCTTCTATTTTTTTTCTAAGTGACAGTACAAGGTAGTAGTTAAGAGCACAGAATGAAGGAGACAGCTGACTAATAATCCTGGCTCAACCATTTCTGAATTGTATAATGCTTGGAAATTACCTGATTTCATTATAAAATGTGGCTAACAGTATCTATCCCAAAGGGTTGCCATGAGGATCAACTGAGTTAATAACATGCTTAGAAATGTGCCTGGTATGTAGACAGTGCTTAGTGTATATTAGCCATCATCATCATTGACATCATCCCCACCACCACCATCACCCTCGTCATCATCATCATCACCACCACCATCACCCTCGTCATCATCATCATCACCACCACCATCACCCTCATCATCATCATCATCACCACCACCAGCATCATCATCATCACCATCATTACCACCATCATCACTATATCCTAGTCACTGGGCTAAGTGCCAGAGATTCAAAGATGAATCAGTCTTTCTGCCCAAGGCTAGTGGGAAATTAACGGGAAAAAACGTTTAAGAGTGTTGTCAGTGATGCTGGGATGGGTGCATATGTTGTGCGCAGAGGAGAGAGCAGCTGGATTTGCCTGAGGAAGTTGCAGAACATTTGTATTGTGCTTTCACATAGAAGAGGAAGTTACAAACTCTGAGGCTATAATGTCTAAGTTTGGTTTTCCACAGATTTACTAAACATACCTTTGTGTTTCAATGTCTCTATCTGAAAAATGGAAATGCTCTGAACCTATGAGACTGCCCCTTGGATTATTTAAAAGTACATTAGCATTCTGTCTTGATGCCCCTGAGCTGCACTTATGCGGCGTTTCATGCTTGCAAGTCACCCTAAGGCAAATTTTGCTCTCTTTCCAAAGAAAAGAAACTGACTCTTTGGACATCCATACAATTTCATTAATTTATAATGCACAACTTCAGAATTTGTGATAACTTGGGTGGGTTGGGCTGATGTTTACTTTTTATGTGGTATTTAAGAAAAGTTGGCTAAGCAAATTCAGAGAAGCCAAACTGTGAGAATGATGTTTATCTGCCTAGGAAAATGGTCATCTGCTTTAAGCCATGTGAAAACTCATTCAGAAAAGCTTACTTTAGTCTCCTGCTTTCTGGTTTACAAAACCTATTCATATAGATCCTCTCATTTTCATCTGATTAATATGTGAACCATATCAAGACAATATGAACAGAGGTCAGAGGTGACATATACATTATCAATATCTTTTAATCTATTCATGAAGATGGGCCTTCTTTTACAAACAATGCCAGAGTTTAACAGAATTTCTTTTAGAGTAGTGAGTTCATTTGTTTTTAAATATTGTAGTCTATACAGTTTCATTAATTCAGACTGTCCTGCCCTCTAACTTGCTATTAATTTTAGTGGGGTTTTTTTTTTCATTTTTGAATCATGTAATACAGTAGTTTTCAATCTGGGATGATTTTGCCTCCCAAGGGACACTTAACAATTTCTGGAGACATTTTGGTTGTTACAACTGGGAGGGAAGCTATCATCATCTTCTTGTGGGTAGAGGACAAAGATGCTGCAAAAATTCTATAATGCTCATGACATTTTCCACAACAAAGAATTATCCACCCCATGTGTCAGTAGTGCTGAGGTTGAGAAACCCTGATGTAATTAATAAGTAACTTCAGTTATTCAATTGTGTATCCACAGGCTAAGGAGAAGTCACAGTCACACCCTGGTCTGAAGGAAACAGCACCTGTCAAAGGCAAAAGCACACCGGCCCTCACAGGTAACATCTTTAGAAGACTAGATATTTATGCATAAGGAAAGCTGTGATGTAAAAGTCCTGTTGCCATTGCTCTTATTCAGAAGGAGTTACATGTTCATAAAGCCCTGTGTTGGGAGAAGTGCTGTTTGAATATCTTTATTTGATTGGCTTTGGGTCCTACTAGTTACAAACTAGAAACTCTTTAGGAAACCAAATGTCAGTCAGTTGGTCATGTTCATGTCTACTTTGCTTTTCAAAATCTTGTATCTTCTGATAAAGAGAAACCTGAATAGAAATGCCATTATGTGAAGCCGAAATTATACTGATCACATGCATCCTCCATTAAAATATTTTGTGGCTTTTAGAGAGATCTTCCCAGAAGAACCAGCCCTCCTCCGAGAAAAAAAAGGTTAATAAACTCAATGAGAAAAATTCTGAGAAGACCAATGCCTCTCTAGTTCAGAGAAGTTTTGCCACATTTCATACAGAAAGACCGCAAGATGAAGTCGAAGATTTTGCTCTAAGAAGTTCCATAGAGCCAAGAGAAAATATAGACACAAGAGACATTTCGAGTACACAGAGACTGAACAGACAAGAAAATAATAGTTCTGGAGATGATAAGCAAGCCACTGTGGATCAAAATGGATGTCCAGTGTTCAAAGGAGAGAAAAATGGGCTTCATTCTAAAGAAGATACTAGTGAAAGCGAAGTTGAGACAAAAGGAGGACCAGCAATTGCAAATGAAACAGTGTTGGACAAGTGTTCAAATAAAAAGCAGTGTGTTGATAAAACAAATGGTGATCAAATCTGTGAAAGGTAGGCTTTAAAGCATTGCACGCCTACAACTGATGTTTTTGGTAGACCTATGAGCCATTGCGATTTAAAGCCATACCAAAAGGAGAAGTGAAGTGAGTTTTTAAAGCAACGGTTTAGAAACCAGTTTCCCAGCTGGTGTGGGTTTTTCTTGGCCCTGTTCTCTTGCCATTACTTTCTCTTCTTGCCTGTGACATTTTCAGGCATTTTTACTGTTTTCTTCTGTCAACTGATAAAGATAATGATTATTATCAATCAGTATTTTTAAGATTAAGTATGAAGTTCTTGTTTTTAGCAATATAAAGCACATGCTTCCTAAGATCAAGAACTGAATAATGAGATCAGATTTATCTGTAAGTTAAACTAATTCTTAAATTATGCATGATAAATTGGCTATTTTCCTAAGGTATTGTGAGGATTGAGTAAGAAGTAGATTATTGAAGGACTCTTCCTCAACTGCAAAGTTTCACATATAAATTCAGGTAATTATGTAGCCAACCACAATCAATTACTCTATGTTGTGATGGGCCACAGACTCTATCTGGAACAGAGTATCCAAATATCTCTGTATTTTTTACTGAATTAAGATATAATTTTTATTTCATTTATTAACAATGTATTTGAAACCCAATCATAGAGAAGTCAAATTTTTAAAGAATTAAACATAAAGGCTAATGTTTATTAAGAAAGTCCATCATTGCAAAGATCTGCTTAGTAAGGTAACGAGCTGTTAAAAAACTGAAATTAGGTCAATTCTTTGACCTATAAAGGTTTACTCTCCCTGCTGTTAATATTCAGAGAGATGATTGCTTCCTTTAGTATACTTTAATTTAGTAATCTCTCTCTTCTATAAGAAAAGGAAGTGAAAAAAATGAAGATCGAATTAGCTAGGTATCATAAGATGACTGCTTTTGTAAAGGGTCAGTGGAATAACTTGGGGTCACAATGAGGTCATCAGGGAGAGTCCCTGGGATCCTGTTATCTACACCCGTTCTTGTGCTGCTTCGTTTGATGGGGAAGCATACTGCTCCATTTCATCCCGAATGCTGAAACAGCCAACTCTATCATGAAGCTCCACCAAAGCACCATGTTCAGGAAGCTTTAGTGCTAAGACTTTTGATCATCTGAAAGTTATCTCCTTGAAACGTTGAGAGCTGCAGGTGGATTTTATTTTCCAGGTGTATCAGCAATGTGAAAGCCATTTCTACAACCCGAATCCTGGAAAACCCAGCGCTAGCACCCACTTTCCAGAATGCTGAGCAAGCAGAACACACTGGCAGCAGCAAGCGGAGGGTGACGGAGGAGTGCTTCACCAAAGAGGACAGCAAAAAGAGCAGAATAGATGTAGAGAGTCCAGGTGAAGGACACACATTTAGGACACAGGAAACCAGACAAGCCCAGGGGGGCTTACAAGGCAAACCCTTGGCATCTGCTGGAACTAAGACCTCCGGACAGCAAGATCTGATGGCCCCATTGGGTAGGAAATGGTTTTTGTTTCAGCCTTTTAAAGCTTCTTAACCTTTTCCAGCAAGCATTTCCAACTAAATTTCACTTAGCCTAACAGCCTGAAGGAGACAGAATGCCATACTGGATGCCATTTGTGTCTGTAATTCAATCACTTTTTTTTTTTTTTTTGGTCTGAAGAGATGAATGCCACCAAGAGAATTCTTTCATGACTTCTTTCGTTTTCAGCATATTTATAGTGTGAGAGATGAATGTCTATATCAAATCAGATTCCTGGAGACTTCTATTATCTGAATTCTTAAAAATATTAACATCTGGCAGAGTGCCTAGCACAAGATAAGTGCTCCAGAATTACGTGTTAAATACATTTACAGTTCTGAAAGCAAAGTTATTATCTACTCACCTCCCCTTGTATCCTTGTATGCATGTAAGAAGCTGCATGCAATAGATGCTTAAATATGGAATAAATGGGGAAATGAATAGGCTCACGGGAAGCAAACCATGGAAAAATAAAAAGAATGCTGGAAGAATATTACTGAGTTTGTGTTTTAGAACCGATCATGAGGTGGACTAGAGTTAAAACACTTAGACCGGAGGGTGGGAAGTGGGAGCAATTTGAAAGCTGTAGAATATGTCCTTAGCCAGTTTAACTGGTTGTTTTATTTCAATCCAGGAACAATTCATCTCTGTGCCTTAAAAGTGTCTTAAATAAAGGCTAAAATATTTTGCAAAGTAATGTAGAATAATAGCAAACATTTCAATGACATGAAGTAACTCTTCATCTTTCTTTGCTTTAATTAAAATAATGAACCTTATCAGTGGTGCTTTTTTTTTTAATGGATCAAACACTTCCTTATCTTAGAACTTAAATGGTTTTGGGCTTGGGAGAATTATCCGTATGGACTGTTTTGGGGTTGGAGATTTTCAACTACTGTGACATTTCTAAAAGTTATCCTGAAGATGGTATAAACCACAGTTACATGGTCCTGACATCTTTCTGAAAGATGTCAGGTGTCACCTTCATGAATTACAGACCATAATATGAAATAGAAACATATATTCCCTGGATCACTAGGAATAAAATAGATGGCCCATTTTATTTTATTCTGAGGCCCAGTCTGGTGCCAGAAAGAGGTCTGACTGCTTCCTCTCACCATCTAGATGATGTCCCGGCTCCTCCCGCCCCGTTTAATCACCGTATCGTGACAGCCAAACAAGCAGCCATCAACGTCTTTTATACTGTGAGCAGAATGGAAGTTTTAGGAGGGTAAGTAATGCTCAATTTTAATATGCTTTCCACAAAAGAAGAGCATTTTCAAAGAGGCAGATCCTGAGGATTGCATAAATGTTTGCCAGTCTTGACCCAAGAACCAGAAACATCATAAACAAGCATTTTAAGAGATTTTTAGCATTTCTGAAAATCGCTACTGATGTCAGAAAGGTTGATGTGGTGACAGTGACTGAAGTCCATATTTATTATCTGCTTTACTTCCCACGTTGTGATATCTGAAAGTGGGAGAAGCCCCAGTGAGTCACCAGAAGGTTTAGAAGCTGTCCAAAACTTGAAAACGGAGACACAAAATGTAGGAATGAGTGAACAACACTGTGTATTTCTTGTGGCATGTGTTAAATCTTTTTTTATCATTGTTGTTGGTTTTCCATTTATGTTCTTACTGTATTAATTACTATTATCCATTTTGAGTGATTGCTTCGGTCCCTGAAGAATTTTTTTGAAGGACGTCTAAATGCATACTCTCTCCCTGAAGAAGGAAGAGTACAGTCCATCAGGGACCGAGTTTATTACTGGGGGATATTACTTCCTTTTCTATGACAGACACAATCCTCCTTTGATATCTTGTGATTTAAAGTCTAAATTATAAAGTTTACTACTGTCAGCATATCTATGTGAAATAGCATAAGGAAGCAGAACATTTAGACAAAAGCTACTTAGCAACCCATGGAAAATATGTACAGTAACTATAGTGCATGTTTCTGCATTTGGTCATTGGGGGTGTGGTCGCCATTTGTGAAGTCCCTTCTTCCTCTTCCTGCCCCATATTTCTTTTGCCTGCACCATGGGGAACCCCCTGAATGCTTTCCTCCTCAGCCTGCTGATTATAGAGAGCTCCTCTTGAGACTGTGAGAAAGGGCAGAAAGACAAATGAAAACCCTGAAACATGAATAGGTGCCCTGGGAGTCTTTAGTATCACTGCACATAGTAGCTCTTTTGGGTCGTCAGGGACTTCGGTGGCAAACCAGCAACTGTTTCTCGGAAGGAGAATTGTTATTTGCGGAAGACACTTTGAGACAATTCCCAGGGTATTTTCTTTTTTCTTTTCTTTTTTTTTTTAAGATTTATTTACTTTAGAGAAAGAGAGCACAAGCAGGGGGAGGGGCAGAGGGAGAGGGAGAAGCAGACTCCCAGCTGAGCAGGGAACCTGATGCGGGGCTCCATCTCAGGACCCTGAGATCATGACCGGAGCCAAAATCGAGAGTGGGACGCTCACCCACTGAGCCACCCAGGCAACCCCAGGGCATTTTCTTCATCAGTAGCCACATGTGAGGTGCCTGGGGCTGTGTTCACGGTCTGGACATGGTAGTTGGAATTAAGGTCCTCCCTTGGCTTATGTTTACGGAAATGTCATTCTCCGAGACCAATCTGTTTGTGCACAGATGTAGTTGAGTTGAGTGGGACCTCAACTCAGTTGGTCACCACCCTGCCTCTGTCAGTTGTGGCCACCATCCTCGCCTCTGCAGCCCTCCAGGAATGTGGGGGGGTCTTAGGGTCACAGTGTTGTTCAGGAAGTTTCCCCTTAGCCCCCTGCCATGATAGCCACATTGCACAAGCAGGCACCTGTGTTCTATTTTACTAAATCAGGAATCAAAGCAAGAAGTCACATTTTAAAATTGTTCATGAGTGTACATTTCGATATGTGATTACATGTGTAAGAAGCTGTCCTTTAAAGTGTATAAAAATTTATATCCAAGCTAAACCGTCAAAAATCTCATAGGTGATTATGTAATATGTATTTTTTATTTTATGTATCTGTATGTAATATTGTTATTACTTTATTTATATGCAGTTTCCAAAAATAATTTTACATGCCTGACCTACAGACCTTATTGTTCATTCGCTTACAAAGCCTAACTTATTCCATTCATATGGATTCAGAAAGATTCTATTTTTTCTATAACAGAAGTTCTCAAATTTTAGGGTGCATATGAATCATCCAAGGAACTCTGTGGAAATGCAGATTCTGGGGCCTCACCTTAGATTCTTGCCTCAGTAGGTCTGGGGTAGGGCCGGGAAACCCCTCAGCCCGTGACGGAGAGACCACACTTTAACATTATTTTAGAAGTTTATTGGCTACAGTAGATACACTAACAGGTTTGCTGATTCAAACCCCAAAAGAGAAATGCCCCGAGAGGGGCGTCTTCCACTTGGCCCCACCTCACGCTGCACCACGTCCTCTTCTTTGGCAGGGGGCGCTTTGGCCAGGTTCACAGGTGTGAAGAGAAAGCAACAGGTCTGAAGCTGGCGGCCAAGATCATCAAAACCAGAGGCACCAAGGATAAGGTAAAGTCCGTGCAACGTGAATCTGTCCTTGCCGTCATCATCTTCACTTCGCTAAAGCATCTTTCCTTCTTCTCAGGATGAAGTGAAGAACGAGATCAACATCATGAACCAGCTGGATCACGTGAACCTCATTCAGCTCTACGACGCCTTTGAGTCTAAGAATGACATTGTCCTGGTCATGGAGTAGTACGTGTTCTCCCCCTCCCCCACCCCCTCCCCTACCCTTCTTCCACCCCTCCCCTGCACAGCTGCACGCAAGCATGATTACGCGGCGGTAGCTCTGTCCTGCTTCAGAAGTTGCTAGATCGGTGCTTGGTGCACTTCTGATTCTGACCGGAGAAGTCACCGGGCACACACACCTGCTGGAAGAGTTAGACGAGCTTAAACACGCGGCTGCTACTCCAGGAAGTAGCTGTGTTCACGAAGGAGCCATACTCAGGACTTGACGCCTCTTCCCTCTGCAGCGTGGACGGAGGGGAGCTGTTTGATCGCATCATCGATGACAACTACAATCTGACCGAGTTTGACACCATCCTGTTCATCAAGCAGATATGTGAGGGCATAAGACACATGCATCAGATGTATATTCTCCATTTGGATCTGAAGGTACAGCGTGTTCTGTTTGATATGAAACCCCTTCCACCCTCCCCTCCTGTGGATCAGTGGGCCCTGTCAGATACTATATGCCAGCTTGGGGAATTTATGCTGTTATGAGGTACATATTTGGGAATTAATGAAAATCTGGATTCTTAGTGTCATCTCCCCATTCCTGGCTTCCACCACCCCCTAATATTTGCATATCTCCACCTTCAGAGACTACTATTCAGATTCTTGTAACTTGCCTGTGTGAAAGAGATCCATATGGGAGATGCTTTCCCTAAAAGTTTAGAATTAAAACCACCACCACCACCACCATGGTATCCTTGCTGTGTCCCCCTCATTTTTAGAATAAGTAGGTGGGAGGATTTTAGCTAACTCAGAATTCCCTCGTGGTAGCCAAGTTTTCCAGCTCTCCAAGCATCCTTAGCAGTCTCAAACTCTTTTAGGACGTGCTGGACTTTAGGGATTTGTTTTTCTGTGGGCATGCTAGAACACTGAGTAGGAACCTATGGCAGAATGGGATACAGGGCAGCCAGAAGGTCGGTGCTAAAATGCTTAGGAGCTGAGGAGAGTGGTGGGGGTGGGGCTGGCACCACGTTGGGCATGGTGGAGAACCTATGTGAGCAGTGGGGAGCCAAGCCACCTGCCTTTCTCCTCTTACTTAATGACCCTTCCCTTTTGATCTCTCTCCCAGTATGCAGTGCCTAGAATTGGACTATACCTAGTTAGGACCAGTGAAAGACCCAAGCTCAATAACTCTGATCAGCTCTAATATCAGGGCTAAGTATCATAAATTGCCTCTTCTTGTGTGGCACAATCATTTTCTCATTTCCCTGTTTGCACAGCAGACCGTGAGATAAAATATATATTCTCTATAACATACCATCTATTGCAAGTCATCGGGGATTGTAGAGCTAAATAAATTTAACTTCCTTAAATTGGTTTCCATGGTCCTCTCTTCTTGTAACTTAGCTTCCCTCACTGCCTTGATTTATGTGTGCTACCTCTCCCATTCATGGGGCAGGAGGAAGTGGTATATAAAAGACAAAGTCAGAAGTTGAAAATCATTAGCAAAGCCCTTGGCTTCGGAACTGTTTGATAATGTGTATTTCCATGGAGCATTTTCCTTGAGTGTAGATATTCTGCAGATATCCCTAAAGGGATTTGATTGGCAACTAAAACTAGGACCTGACCTATCGTAAGTCAAACAGCTCTGTATGTGGCTTCATAACATTGATTGAGGACTTGCAATGGGCAATTTTAGTTACGGTTTGTAGGTAAAGATAATAGTAATTGCAGCAGCTGGATGGGTCATTAAGGACCACTCATCCCTTGCAGAAAGCTCCTTGGAAGGAAAAGGGCCAAAAATATTAAGAGTGCTTGTCACCATGGAGGGGAGATTATAGGTGACTTAAAAATGAAAAATGGTCTCCTTTATATTTTTCTGTGTTTTGAAAATCTTATTCAATGAATATGCTTTCATTTCATAGTTAGAAAAAAATTAACTTTTTAAAGTGCCCTCAAAGCTGTAAACACATTTTTATGTCATAGTAGTCTTTGAGAATCGGACAGCTTTATTCATATCGATCAGTTATTTAAGCATGAAACCACATATTCTTATAGAACATCCACTTTATCAATAGCTTTTACTCATAGACACCAATTTTAGAGATATTTTAGAAAAGGGCTTCCAAAGACACTATGCCAACCAAATGGTCCATTGAATGTTGGTAAGGAGACTCTACATCATTTCATCCATTACTTCTTAGTTTCTGATCTCATTTGAACCTCCTCTCCACCCAGACAGGCAGGGGAGGGACAGCTGTGATCCCACATAAAGGATGGGACATGGGATCCTGAGGATTCAGAAACTCGGCTAAATGCACCCCAGCAAGAACTTGAGAGTTCCAAGCAATTCTTTGAAAACTTTATTTCTCTTTTATGGATGACCTAGACTTTAAATCAAATTTCCTATTTTTCTCAGACCTCAGTTTTTCTGACCTAACAAATACAGGCACACTTGTAAGACATTCCATAAACACTGAGTTGCAATGCTACTATCCACGTTTTCTCCCTCTACACCCCCCACCCCCAATTCTGTCACCTTGACAGCAAATCTTAACCAGAGTCAAACTCCAAGGGAACACTTAGTCAAGGGTTTGGGCACTGAGAACAAACTCAGTAAAACTTTGGAATTGCTGAGAATGAAGAATGAACGAGAGGGAAGTCTTCCTTTTACACATGACTTTCTCACGGATTAAGCGCAAAGGGAAAATCTGGAGGTCAGGAGCGTTCCCGTTATATTACATCCTCGGTGTGACTGTTTAAAGGAATCAGGCCATTTCTTCTGGAGCTCATAAATCTTTGGGAAAGATATTCCTCCAAGAAGGGGAAATTCATACTTCATAATTTTAGGGGGGCAGATGTCAAGTCCGAGACAGCCTCCACCAGTCCGTTTGGAAGGTACTGAAGCTGGCTCCTTGTCTTTCTTCCCTCAAAGAGGCCCCTGCCTGAACTCACACATTATGGTAAACTGCAGAACCAGGGAGAGGGACAGGCAGGGTAATGCAAGGTTGGCAGGATACCCACAACCTCATCCACCACAAAATTAAAGGAGAAAATACCCACACAGACAAGCCAGACCCAAAGTGAAAGGCCTGATATGTTTTTCCTGAGCATCGTTGTATTTTTAGTTGTGGTTCAAGGACAATTTGAGTGAATGATGGTTGTTTTCATTGCTAATGTGTCTCTTTCTCCTGGCAGCCTGAGAATATCCTGTGTGTGAATCGGGATGCCAAACAAATAAAAATTATTGATTTTGGATTGGCCAGAAGGTATGTGTATTTGGACATAGGTATATGAACGGAAGTAGTGAGCATGATGGTGCTTTTCTTTGCAAAGATAAATCTGATATACCTCTTGGTTTTAGACTCTCATTTAGAATTAACTTGACAAAAATGATATCCCAGCCTTACCTTGCTGACTTTGGAATTGGAATGTTTAGAGGTTTCTACGGTGTATCCAAGAAAAAAATAAGAAAACTTAAAAATCTCATACAGTGAAGTTATTAAATTTGAAGACATTAATTTAGAATTCATAAGTTTGTCTTAGTCTTTTATATTCGTTCTATCTGTAAAGAGAAGATTTACTTTAAAAATTGAGTAGTGTAAATGAGATTGCAAAGGGTTCTGGTACATATAAGCTTCTTAAGTGAACGAAGAGTTTATATGTGGACTTCAGTACATTAATGGTGAATATAAAATGGATGCAAATAATTGCATTTCATTTATTCATTAATGTGGCCTTACTCAAGCCATTGGCATGTCAAGGATTGTATCAGTTTTCCTTTTGTTGTGTTCTAGAATTCACGTGTTCTAATTATTCTCACCAGCTTTCCCCACCACTGTTTCAGATTATTAAGGTTTTATAGTATGAATTACGACCCTTAAACTCCTGGAACTTTTTTTTTTTTTACAAGTTTTTAACATTATTTCCTAAATACACGATTTCCTTTAAAGCCTATGTATTCAAAATTTGCTGTGTGGCTGAAGTTCTTTTGTCTTATAGACTGCATCTTTTCAGTTTCTACGATTGTTGATGTTTGATCGACCCTGTCCATCCCTCCACTTTGTCTCCTGAATTCCAGATACAAACCCAGAGAGAAGCTGAAGGTGAACTTTGGAACTCCGGAATTTCTTGCCCCTGAAGTTGTGAACTATGATTTTGTTTCCTTTCCCACTGACATGTGGAGTGTGGGCGTCATCGCCTATATGCTGTAAGCAGATCTCCAGTCTCTCTGACACTTACACACAGGCATAATAGCCCAATTATGTCTTTTAACAAATAAATAACACCGTGCCATGTTGAGTCACTTTCTAGGCTCTGTGAATCCTGGGGGTGAAAGGAGTAAATTCTTTCCCTGTGCATCACCTGAAAAAAGTAAACGTATGTCTACTTGTAATCGCTTTAACTGTTAGGACACCACTGAATGCCCTAAAAGTAATTAAAAAGCAACTTGTGTCCTGATCTCCTAAAAGACGAAGGTTAGCCTTACTCCTCAGGGTGACCCTTTGGCGTTGGCCATCTGAGTGTGTGGCAGACTTTAGCAGCTGTAAACGCTCTAAAAAGGAAGTTGTGCTCTTCTTAGAGATTTCATATTTTAGGGGGGCTGCTGACTCCATGGCTGCAGGTGTTTCATTAGGGGCCGGGGTGAGGGAGCGAAGCGTTTTCCTGATTGCAAAAATATATTATAAAATTATGTTTAATTATCAGGTTATTTGACTTCTCTCAGTTTTAAACGACAGAACTGAGAAAAAGCAACCTCTCTGTAAAGGGTTTGAAGCTATTTAAACGAGACTCACTCTGGCGCCTGTGTCTTACAGACTGAGTGGTTTGTCTCCCTTCCTGGGTGACAATGACGCTGAGACCCTGAACAACATCCTGGCCTGTAGGTGGGATTTAGAGGATGAAGAATTTCAGGACATCTCGGAGGAGGCCAGGGAGTTTATCTCCAAGCTTCTGATTAAGGAGAAGAGGTAACCCAAGTTGGTTCCGGGCTCTGGAAGAAGGAGGGATAATAGGGAAGCATAGGCTAACCGCAATTCGTGGAAATAATTCCCGAATTCTCTTTTTGACATCTCCAATGCCCATGCAAAGTTGTAAATGGAAAGAGTGTGATGCTCTTGACCTTGTTTACTAAGATCGTGGACTGGTTTGGTCAAGAGGCTTGAAAGGGGCTACAAAAACTTCCCTGCTTCTGCCTTTTGCAATAAGGCTCTAGCAATTAGGGGCTCTTGCTGGGCCTCAAAATGAAGGGTTTGGGATAAGTTATTTCCATAACCCCTTTCATATCTACAAAGCACATATCCGGTTCTGTGTAGCTGAACACTTAACTATCATTTCATTTGAGAGCCTACTGTGGACCAGACAGTGCCAAGTGCTTTATAGACCTATCTTTTAACCCCCATCCATTTCTAAGAGGTGGGAATTATCATTATTATTTTATGGATGAAACTCTAAATAGTTTGCCCAAGATCATATGGCTAGTCAGTGGAACTGAGTGTCAAACACGTCAACCTTCCCCTAAGGCTGCCCACTTAACTGTTACATATTACACAGCCTTCTATTTTCTGTCATGCTAAAACCACGTTAGTTCAAAATTCAGCAGATGGAGGCGCCTGCGTGGCTCAGGCTGTTAACAATCTGCCTTCGGCTCAGGTCATGATTCCAGGATTCTGGGATTGAGCCTCACGTTGGGCTCCCTGCTCCCTCCCTCTGCCCCTCTCCCTCTGCTGATTCCCCTGCTTATACTCAGTCTCTCTCAAATAAATAAATAAAATATATAAAAAAATTCAGCAGATGAAAAAGAGTGACCTTGAAACATAAGGGCTTACGTTTTAGAATTACAGGCAGGGGAAGGACATTGTGATTTAGTCAAAAACAGTTTCAGATGGTTTTATACCTAACATGTAAAATGGTAAATGGTGTTTAAGATTTTCAAGGCCAACCATACTGAGCCTTGCTTCATTGTTTTATTATCTTTATGGCTTTTAAGTTATTAATAAACATGACTGTGAACAGATAGGAGGGTGTATTTGTGGGGAGGGGATTAAAGAAGCAACATGGGTCTGGAGCAGTACCTGAAACCAAGGAGGTGCTTTGTCGACAGTCTGCCAGGAAATGTGTCTGGGGCATTGAGAACACATGTGTAAAGTCAGACCCTGCCTTTAGGTACCCCATGATCTAAGAGAAGAGATAGGTATTTCTTAAAAAGATAGAATACAATGCAGTTAATGCAAAGATAGAGTCTATTGAAAAGGGTCAGTCAGGACTGCATCCTAGAGGGTAAGGAGGACTTAGCCAGGCGGAGGGGGGGGAGGGTCAGTGTGAGGAGAGGGCACTGCACAGACATGGGTTTTATCTTTAATGGAAAGGCACAACAGCTGATGTCACTATTATTATTATTATGTGTATATCACTGAACACCAGATGGAAAATGTCAACTCTATCACATCTTTGGTGGGTGAGATCTACACTTACTGAGAATCTATTCGACAGATACACTTTTATGTGTTATCTAATTTAATACTCTGGATTAAATGAGGAAACAGAGGCTGAGAGCAGTCAAGCAGTCATGTTGTTAGCACAGGGCAGAGTCCTAGCCGTGCCTGGTGGCCTCCAGCGCCATGCCCTACCCACTCCTTTGGTCTGAGGGCTTCACTAATATGATCATGGAGTAAATTTCTGGGTACAAAAATAAACTCGAAATTCTATTAAAAAATTAATTATTAGTACTATGTTATTGTTAACTTTTTAATAGTCAGCTTTCAGAAGTTTGCATTACAGTAAAGAAATAATAATTTTTTGGCACGGTCAGCTTTTGGAATGCTTCTGGGGATTTAGTACTGAAAATTCATGATATTCAACAAAACAGCACTTCCATCTGAGGTTGGTGGAGGTCAAGAGTTTTAAAAAAATTATATCTGCCTGTTTAAGGTCCTCCTAATGGTGATGTTGTCACCAAGTTAAACTTTCCATCATGGATTAAAGTAAAGGGTTATCATCTCTTCAAATCTTATACTTAAATGTTCGGTATCTGATGAAACAATTTTACTGAATCAATCTACAAACTGAAGCTCCATGATCGTTGGAAACTACTTTCTTGATACAGTTTCAGAAGTAGACTCCAGATTGTTGCACTCACTTATAGTTTTTATTTTGAAAGGTTATTTGGTTTAATGTGATAAATGTTAGCACACAAGACAAATTTATAAAACTTGGAATTAGAATATAATCTTTGTAATTCTTTCCCATGTTATTTTTTTAAATTGTATAAACGTTTGCTAGCTCAAAAGGATATAGTTTCTTTGTAAAGGTATCTAATGAACTCTCTCTGTACTTATATTAACTTTTCATCTATTTAAGTATTCAAAACCTTTTTTTTTTTAAGATTTATTTATTTAATTTGAGAGAGAGAACAAGCAGGAGGGGCAAAGGGAGAGGGAAAGAGAATCCCAAGCAGACTGCGCTGAGTGTGGCGGAGCCTGATGTGGGGCTCAATCTTACGACCCTGAGATCATGACCTGATCATGACTAAGAGTTGGATGCTTAACTGACTGTGCCACCCAGGAGCCCCCAAAATTTCTTAATTTAAAAGTTAGTGATACATACTATTCAAGAGTTTTAATATATAAATCACTTTTGCAATTATCAAGAATCATTTAGCATTTGGCTCTTGCAGTAGTTAAGTGTGCATTTGTTTTTCCACTGACTGATAAAAGTTCAATTCATGAAGCTCAAACATTGCATGAAAAATGGTTACTTGTATTGGAAAGTAGATGTTCAATTATGAACAAGAATTTTGAATTATTTGCCTCACTTGTCTTACTGCTGTTGTTACCCTGACTGGATTTGCTGGTAACCTACAATCATCAATGATAGTTCCAGAGAAGATAGAATTGCCTGTGAATTTGACATTTGACCATCTGGTCTCCCAAAGGCAATGGCCAGAGCTGAGGTGAATGACAGATTCAGGCCTCCTTGGTGTGTCTCTGCTAAAAGCCTTCCACATTTCCCTTTAGTTGGAGAATAAGTGCAAGTGAAGCTCTCAAGCACCCTTGGCTGTCAGACCACAAACTCCACTCCAGACTCACCACTCAGGTAACTGAGGCTTGTTGATTTTCCTCTCCTTTTCTAACCAACCTTTGTCTTTTGATGATCAGAGGCTAGAAGCATTTTAGCCTCATATGGGGTTCTAATTCCATCTCTCACAGCCTTCCAATCTTGTGCTAGTGTTGAATTGCTTAAAATGCTTTTATTGAGCAGTTTGTGTTGTTTTTTTTTAAATAAATGCTTCTTATGTTGTTTAGGAGATATTTTCAGCATAACTATTTATTATGTTTATTCAATCATTATACTCATTATAAAATAAATTACATCACTGTACTATGCGCACACACATATATAGTCTAGGATATATAAATATACAACATTTTGGCGAATATAGGTTAGTGTACATTCGGGATAAACATGTCTCCTTAAAACAGAACTTGGAATTTTAACATTGATGCTTACCTGGTTCAGTCTGCTCTGGCACCAAAAAAACTGTAATACTAAGGTTGATCCAGATAGTATTATAAATATATGTGAAGGAGACTCTTACCAAAGACTGAATGAAGATGACCTAAATACTTGTGGTTTTTTTAATCTTTTTTTTTTTCAAGTTTCTATTTAAATTCAAGTTAGTTAACATACGGTGTAATATTAATTTCAGGTGCAGAATTTAGTGATTCATCACTTATATTCGATACCCAGTGCTCATCACAACGAGTGCTCTCCTTAATCCCCATTCCCCATCTAGCCTATCCCCCCGCCTACCTCCCTCCATCAACGCTCAGTTTGTTCTCTATCATTAAGAGTCTGTTTCCTGGTTTGCCTCTCTCTCTCTCTCTTTTTTCCTTTTTTCCTGAGAACTTGTTGAAAATAATTGAGCCCACACTGTGTTAACTTCGTACAATAAAATCCCTAATCTACTCTATTGCCTTAATTGCCATTTATGTTCCGACAGCTGTCTGTCCCTTCGGCACAGATTCCTTTCCTAAGCTTCAGATCCATATATCCCCCTGTGTACTTGACATTTCCACTTGGATCTTCTCAGTCCTAAACTGAACTCATTTTCCCCACCTCCCCTCGTCCTCTACTATCCTCCCAACCCCCCCCCCAACTCCCACCGAGGCCTCAACCAGACCTCCGGGCTTTGCTGTTTCCTTCCTCCCCTCCATCTTCCCATCTCATATTTAATTTATCTCCAAGTTCTGTACATTATTTTCCCTAATTATTTCTAGAATCTGTCTAACCTTCTCCATCCCCTTGGTTATCCTGACGCATGACACCCCTCATCTGAATTACTATAACAGCCTCCTCCAGACTTTCTCCACCCACATCGCTATGGATTATACAAATAACACAGAATCAAAAGTGTAACATTTAAGTAACTCAACTAAACATTTAGGATGTTTAACTGGCCAAGATATATAAAGAGGCAATAAGCAATCTCTGCCTTCTGGCCTCACTGCGGAAGGTCTGACATGAGCATCTGTTAAGATGGCGACTGTCATGCCCTGGAGTCGTATGCGTTTGATACACTTTCATTTCCTCCGTCTCTGCTCCCCATCCTCCCTCCTCCCCAGGGTTTTGGAATGGAGCTTTTTCACTGACCAACAAACCTTGGAATGACTATGCTTCAGGTACTCATTTTTTCCACATCCAGTTTTTATTGAAATTAACTTTACTTCTAAATTCAGCATCAGTACTAAGTTTTATTTGTGTCTGAATATACCTTTCCTTGATAATTGGTACTGATGTCAAGTAAAAATAGACTTTTTACCTAGTTGGTACATCACCCAGACTACATAAACTGCTTATTAGGGTTACCAACCTATTTTGGGCCAATTTTCCACCAATGTATTTTTATCCAAGCTTATTGGTGTCCAAATACACTTTCACGTGGTAGGACAATATGGAAACCGTGGCAGATAAATAATGACATTATACAGCTTAAAAAGTGCTTAAAATATTTTTAAAACCACATAACAACAACAAAAATCACCTTTTTGTTATTCTATCCAACTATTGGTAACTAGGTGAATAGATATTTCACAAATATCTATGAATGGAAAAAAAACAAATTCCATTGTAGAAATCTAGTTAGTTATCATTAAAGTTATAATTATATGGCACTGTGCCAGGAACTGTTCCAACTGCTTTATAAAAATTAATTCATTTAATCCACATACCAATTATCTGAAACAGATACTGTTATTCTCTTCACATAGATGAGGAAACAGAGGATAGGGGTTAAGTACTTGTATAGGATCCCACCAGGTGAAAATGATGGAGGTAGCATCCCAGTGTAGACAGGCAGGCTCTGGAGTCTGGGCAGAGCTTCACCACTCTGCTGTCCTGCTGGATAATGGACAAAGGGGGCCTGATGATATTTCCAGAACTCTTTATGTACTGTACATTTTTGGTGTTACTGAAAGCCAGTATTCAAGCTTAATGTATTTTATTTTTCAATGAAATATTAAGACTAGATTTTTCCAGAAGATTCATTTTTGGAATGATCTTTGTTCCAATATGTTCTATAAAATCAGAATTTAATTTTATGTTGAGAATTTAAGTCTTATCCAAAACTATTTACTATTTAAATCTAATTTCTATTTCAAAAGTCTTTTCTGAACTTTTATTTATCTCTTTTAATTGTTTCATGTTTAAAAGCACTTACCATTTCTTAACCACTAAGCCTGCCTATAACCAGTCAGTAAATTTAAGGATTTTTTTCCCCCAGGAATTAAAGCCCTGTAGCTCTCTGCCTTCTGTATTATGCTCTTACATTTCCAACCATCCATATATAACCCATCTTCCATCAGAAACAGCTCTCAGCTGGAGTGGAACAAAGCATTCCGAAATTACAAATCTGTTAGAACTCATCAAGCGCCTACTGCAGACTTAATAAATGCTTTGGGCCTGGAGGAAGGAAAACTGAACAACTATGACATTCTTTTCTGCCAGAACTAATAAGCCTCTACCTTTCCTTCCCGTTTCCAGTTTTATGACCTTAGATCATGCCCTTTTTCCAATTTATTGAACTAATAAAATACCTTAGAACATGATATTCCACCTCTTTCCATCTGTTCTCTAATTCACCAAATCATTACTTCATTAATGATAACTCTGATCATCTTACTCCTTCACCAAAAATTCTTCAAGCGTTCCCCATCGTGCACACCAAACAAACCAACCCAGCAGTCCAGGCCTGCTCTGACATGCCCTGGTCTCGGGTGTCTGGTCCTGTCTCTGCTACTGCTTCTAGATCAGCCCAAGTCCTAGCAAGTGCCTGAGACCTACTTTAAATGCCACCTCCTCTAAGACGGCCCTTCTCAATCCCCAAACTGGAGGTGCTTTCTCCATCTTCGTGGACTTCTCTTGTGGCACTTAAGTACTCTTGAAAACTTTTGGAAGAAGCAACATCTTTGTCTCAGTCTTGACTCTCATGCTTTGTCAACATGAATGTTTGTGGAAATGAGTTTTGACAAAACACACACGTGTAAAAATGAAGTGTCATCAGATGCCAAGCTCTCTGTTTCTGACCTGAGAGGAAAGGTAGTGATGACAAGGGAAAGTGGGAACATGCTCGAATTGGACCCTGAAGGTGGGTCAGTGTATCTGTCAGAGGGTCATGAACAATGTAGGCTTCTAGAACATCTCTCTAAGAGCATTTTCTACCCAGTAGCAAGTTATTGACTCTTTAGTTGTTCTCATATCAGAAGTTAGGAATGAAATGATAAAAAAAAAGTTCTAATCCTTCTCCAAATGTCTTCTGGTTTCCCTAGAAGAAGAAGAATTGTTGCTCTAACGCAAAGAACCTTGTGACCAAATAATCCATGGAAGGCACCCATTTGAAAGGTTGGTCTTGGGTCTTTTCCTAAAGAGATGTTTTTGCAAGCCTTCAGAGAGAAAAGCAAGAAATAAGTCAAATGTGTGTTGCACTATGTGGGAAGCAGGGTGGTGTTTCTGCTGACAGGGAGGGCCCTGATTTTAGACTGCTGTGTGTGCAGCCTGGATCTGCCGTTTTCTAGCAGAAAAACCTGTTTCCTGATTTGTGGGTTGGGAATAGTCTTACTTCCTATGCTCGTTGAGTGGCTCCAATGAGATAATCCAAGCAAAGCCTGGAAACCAGGGCCTGGCACATAGAAGGTGCTTGATAATTAGCTCAGGAGGTGCCAATAACTGAACAGGGCAGTCTCCGGTAGTCCTCACAATTGTGTGGGATCAGAGGAAGTATTCGTATTTTTTTGTATTGTTGGGGAAACCGATCTCAGAGACTCCAAGACTAAATAACTCCCCCAAAGCTGCGTTGCTAGTAAATGGTAGAATGTGACTTCTCAGGTGTCTCTGAATTTAAAGCCCATGCTTATTTTTCTTCCCTGAGCTGCCTACTCTTGGACCTGGAGAAACCACCACTTCATACAAAGCCTCTACCCTGCTTAGAATTTTGTCAGAATTCTTAAGATACAGTTTTACACATGAACACCTTTGATTATATCAATAAGCTAGCTTACTTTATGCTCTAAAGGAGAAGCCTAAAGCAGTGCACTTGTTACCGAGGACTTTTAGAAATCCCAATATTTATGTCCTTGTTGGGGGCCCATTTACCCTCCAGCAAGTCAGTTCTCTAATTTGGGGTGGTAAGTCCATGGCCACTGTTGCAACTCAATTTTAACAAATGTGTAAGACTTATGAATCTATATTCTTGCTGCCCATTGGTCTTACTCTTTTATTCTGACTGGTATTTATTCTGGTCCTGAAGTTTTTCTTTGTCCGTCTTGTAAGCTGCCTTGAATCTTTCATAGGATAAGATCAGGCAAAAATAAATCAATAAATCATAACCAAAGTCACAGACCAGAGTTAGGAAAACATTCAGCCTTTGGTCCATGGGTCACTTACTTAGAAGTCTATCATTTATCTAGAAATCTATGAAACATCAACAGAAAGCCTTCGGCTTCCTACTTACAATGACCATTCTCATGTGTCAAAGTAAAGTTTTGGGGAAGGTAGAAGATAGCTTTACGTCTTGTGACAATGCAGAGAAGGAAAGGACTCTCCGTGCTCCCAGGCCTGGGTCGTTGGGCTCGCTGAGGTGCAGCCCGGCCTTCCCCTGTGAGTGGTGGGCACCAGAGTCCGCAGGAGGCTCTCCCTGCCGGTTTCATCCACAGTGACCACAAACCTCAAGGGTTCACCACAAACTGCATTCCCACATGAGCACTGGAGTCACTTTTGAGGCCTGGTAGGGATTAATGCATTGGGTGACAGGAGGTCGCATTGCAACCTGTGGCCAGGGTCTGGCAGGGAAAGAATGAGGAGTGAATGACAGTGGGAGGGGGTACAGTCCTTCCATGTCACGTTGGCGCTTTGAACCCAACACGATGGAGGACGGTGGCAGCCCAAGCAGTGACAGTTATGCAGAGGACAAAAACATGTGAGCCGGTCGCACTGATGCTGTTGGATACTGTCTTGGTTGGAATTGCTTGATGCGAACTTTCTCTGAGCATGGCCAGGCCCGCCTCTGGATGGTCACTTGGGCTGGCTGCCTTCCACTCTTCCGTCCCTCCGGCTCCAGCTGGCCACAGAAATTCACCTTGGTTGCACTGCAGGCTGGGAAAGAGCTGTTTCAGGTCCATGGGATGTGGGCGCTTCCTAGTTTCCTTTTTTTTTTTTTTTCCAAATTAAAATGTAAGCTTAAGATATTAACTCCTGAGAGCAGCCTCATTTGAGAAGAATATTTTTTCAAATCATTTTTTTATAGTATTTCCTGCCAGGATAAGATGGGTTTTTGGCAGGCTCTGTTAGGAGTAAAACCAACTTTGTGATAATATTGATTTTTAAAATCTGGTGGTTGAAGATTATTCCTGTGGAAAAAGAATGACTTCCAGGCCCTATGAATAAGGCAGGATCCACAATGTAAATTGAGGCATATAAATCTCCTGCAATTTGTTAGAGGTTTTTTGATGTGTTGAGGAAACACTCTGAAAAGCCACCCGGGGCATTTTGTTCCATCTTCTGCCCACCTGTGAAATAAAAGTTGAGGATACCTCCTCAGTTGCACAGGAGTGATGTAGGGCCGCAAACGGCAGGCGGGCCCATGTCACCCGTGGTCATAACGCAAAGGAGAACATTCACACGCCTGCTCCGCGATGTCACTGTGATGTGGGGTCACCGACAGGACGGACGGTGTGGCAGAAAGCTCGGGGGCTGGCTGTGCTTCACATGAAACAAAGAGGCCTTGTCCTTCGATTTTGCAAATAGTACGAAAATATCTTGCATAAACTTGAAAAAAAAAAAACCCAACTCTGGTAAGCGTGGAATCCTGCAAGGGGTTTCTTTTTTTTTCCCTCTCACACGCACACATACATTATAAAAAATCATGTGTGGTTTTCCTAAGGGGCACAACCAACTAATTACAATTTTAAAAGCCCTGCTGAATTAACAAGAGTCATATTTTGTTTGCTTTGCAGGAAAACTGCTGTGGTCGCTGCTGCTTTGGGAAGATTTCTGGAAAAATCAGCAGTTCTGATGCCTTGACCCCGAGGATGATGGGTGGCCGTGGGGGGTGGGGGAGCCGCCGCACTTGAACTCGGAGCGCCCAGTTAAGGCGGATGCCTAGTGCTGTGGTCCTGGGGGTGCAGAAAAGCCCCACGCCCCTTTCCTCACAACCCCACACCCCATGGCAGTACACAACTGGGAAGATGTTTCCCTGACATCTTGAGTTTTCAATGTTTATTTTATTTTAGTCGCTGGGATAAGGGGTACCTGATTTCTGCTCTTTCTCAGCTTCCTAGAGCAATCAGACTGGAGATTTATTTGAGACATTTAAACCTGGAGGATACATTGAGAGGGACAAAACTGCTTCCAGTCCTTAAACTATGCCTTTCAAAGGGGTGATCATATCACCGGAAGAAAATTCTGTCTTTCAAACCCTTGATCACTTGGTTTCTCAGACTGTGTTATTTTGATTTGGTCTGAAATCAGGTGAATCCGACTCTAAATAATCTGCTTTCTGGAACTTGAGCTGTCTTGGAATCCTGAGGCAAGAGGCATCAGACGTCGTGTTTTCTGTTTATTCTGAACTTTTGTCCCAGCTCATCAGTTTCTTCCGAGCAGTGATTCTACTTTCAAATGAGTGACGCGCATTTCACAAGGCACTCCCCTCTCTTCTGACTGAGCATTCACACGCGTGAAATGCACTAGTTTTCACCAGTGGAGCAAGAATTACAACCTTAGGAATAACCGTAACAGTTATGAGAGCTTTCCTCATGCTGCCGTAGTCAATGAGCGATGGGTCGTGTGCATCCCAAGGAAGGACGGTGCTTTGCTTCCAATGTTGAAATGACTTTGGAAATAGCGCTCAGGTTTCTGGGTAAATGCCAACATTTCTGAAGACCAATGATCTCACCTACGCAGAATCTCGCATGGCTCAGTGGTTGTGAAGAAAGAACATTCAGAAATCAAAGTGAGGGGAACATTCCTGCTCACTCTTTGGATATGAGAATGATTTCCAGTTGGAAGCTTCTTCTTATTCTTGAACTCATATGCCATTTCATTACAGATTTTTAATAACGGAAGTGAGCCCTACCGTATATAGAACAGAAAGGCACAGGGCCTCTGAAGAGTGAAACGTGGGTGCCGTTTCTTTACGAAGAAGAGGCCATGCAGAGCCACATGAAACTCCTATCACACAGCTAGCACCACGCTCACCATTCATCTTCTTAAGCTGTCCTCATATTTCCCGTTTCCAAATAACTCCTGTGATGAGATCAGCTATAAGAATGCATTTTTAGCTGTAAATGGTTCTAGGCTCCGATAGTCACCATAGTAATGGCCATATTAGTGAGGGCAGTTTTAATTGGCATTGGCTTTTCTCCATTATTGCTTGTATCCACCTAGTGGGTCCTTCTAGCATGCCTGTGAATAACTGTATGTGCAATGTTCTTATTCTCATGTGTAAGGTAAAGGGGAAGTAGAGACAGAAGAAAATGTGTAATTTAGTTAAGACCACATGCCAATTTAGTGGTCATGCTAGTTATAAAACTGACTCCTTTCTAGCTTTGCTCTTACATTATGATGCATTTCTTTTTTCCTTTGGCCTATGCATTTATTCAAGGTTGGTTTTCTCCTGGTCCTGCTATGTGACTATGCTTAAAATGTTTAATTTGGTTTCCTTGAAAAAAATACCAAAAACTCATACAAAAAAAAAAAAAAAACCACACACAACAAAACCCTGTGACTGAAGTGTTATATTACTGTGCTTGCTATCTTTAGCTGATGGTATTCATCGAGTCTGGAAAAATACAAGCCAGTGCATGCATTAATACTCAGACCGCAGAGAGCTGGCATTCTCTCAAATGCTAAATAAGATGCAAGGGCCTGATTTGAAACCCC